CTATACCCAAAGGACTTAAAAACAGCATACTACAGGAACACAGCCACATCAATGTTTATAGCAGCACAATTCACAATAGCTAAACTGTGGAACCAAACTAGATGCTCTTCAATAAATGAATGGATTAAAAAATATGGCATATATACATAATGGAATATTACTAAGCAATAAAAGAATAAAATCATGGCATTTGCAGGTAAATAGATGGAGTTAGAGAAGATAATGCTAAGTGAAGTTAGCCAATCCCAAAAAACCAAATGCCAAATGTTTTCTTTGATATAGGGAGACTGATTCATAGTGGGGTAGGGAGGGGGAGCATGGGAGGAATAGAACTCTAGATAGGGCAGAGGGGTGGGAGGGGAAGGGAAGGGGCATGGGGTTATTAATGATGGTGGAATGTGATGATCATTATTACCCATAGTACAGGTATGAAGACACAAATTGGTGTGGACATACTGTGTAAACAACCAGAGATGAAAAATTGTGCTCTAGGGGCTGGGGCTGGGGCTCAATAGTAAAGCACTCGCCTAGCATGTGTGAGACATTGGGTTCAATTCTCAGGACCACATATAAATAAATTCATTAAATAAAGGTCCACTGACAACTAAAAAAATATTTTAAAAAAAGAAAAATTGTGTTCTATATGTGTAATAAGAATTGTAATATATTCCGCTGTCATATATAAATACAATTTTTTTAAAAAGAAGTCTAGTTTAAGCTTCTCTACGACATGGAGATTTCCAAGTGGACAAACCCTAATGTGCAAGTGCTTATCAAACCTCTCCTTGCATTATATTTGCTACTATCTCAGCAGCCAAAGAAAGTCACATGGTCGAGCCTAGAGTCGATGTGGGTGGAGCTGTACAAGGGTATAAATTCCAGAAGCCTTGGTTCTTTGGGGACCATCAATATAATAATCATTAATTATATATTAACAACAGATATTTACATTTTTATAAGTGTTTTCACATTTATTGTTTAGTTTTGTTTAACAACAATCCCCCCAAAAACAAATAAATGTCATCTGTATTTTACAAAGAAGGAAACTGGGGATCAGAAATCTGGACACCTTCAAAATCACAAAACTAGCAAATGGAAAAAGTAAACTAAAAATGAGGTTTCATTACTGAAAGTTTTGTTTCTTTCTACTAAATCACATTTATCTTTGTCCAGAACAACCTGTGCTTTGTAGCTCTGATTTTCACATTTGATCTTCACAGGTTTAGAAAAATTGTTGACAAATAAACAAAGAAATCATCCATTTTTAAAAAACTTGTGTAGTGCTCTTATTACTTGTTTCCAATTTTTTGGGGGGTGTATATAATTCTCAAAAACTTTGATAAAGACCATTTCATAGTGCTACTAGCAATGTTTGCTAATCATAAAGCAAGTTCCAACTAAGACAGGATGACTACTTAGAAATATATACCTTATTTTAATCCCTAAAAAGGGAATTTATTTATACTCTATGAAGCTCAATTTTTCTTCTGAGGAACAGAGATTCTTTACTCCACTCTAGCCCTATAACAAAGAATTTAAACCCAAATCTAAATGTCAAGACTAACAGAGTGTATTACTGGGTGGAGTTAGAATAGAAACTTATATTAAAAAAATTATATTGAGAAAGTATCCAAAATCACTCACTGTTTGCAATTCCTCAATTCTAGAGTCACAAGCTTAGTCCCAGTTCTGGCCTAAAAAGTGCTACCTGTGGTGCTGTTGCCATGGTAACCAATAGCTCAAGACAGAGATACAGGGGAACTACAGTCTCTGATTCCCATCATGAGCTGGAATCTGCCGCCAAGTCCTCCCTAGATGAGGTGCCCTGCTGAGGAATGGCCTTTGCCAGGTCCTGTTGTCTGGTCCCATATTCAGGGACTCCAGTTTTCAGGCGACACTTTTCATTAGAAGACTTAGCTGCCTGGTCCTTTGATCCATTCTCTTCCCTTTCTTTGTTACTTTCCTGGTTTGGAGAGAAATAAGGAAAAGTTTAACTATGCAATAAACTCCCCATTTTATAGAGATGCCTGTGCAAGAAGCAATGTCAGGCTTTACATTCAACTACTTTTGTCACCCATCTCATGACACACTAACTTCATGGGAGTGGGAAAAATACAAACACAAACAAATGTCATGGGATGAGACTTAGAACAGTCACTCAGTCTGACCGTGGGAGCTCAATGAAACTGTAGTTCTTGATAACAAGGTTAGGAAAATTTTCTTTTATACCAGCCTGAAGTTGGAACAGTCAATCTTTCAGGGCCCTTGATGTCCCTATCAGGATGTCACATACCTTATATTGTATTCTGTGGTACTTATTTAACACATATTGATATTTGGTTTGAGTAAGACCAAAGAAGACAGCAAATCTTCCACCAAGGAATTCACAAGCTAAAAGAGAGAATAAGAACTTGGGCAAATTGAGTCAATAACTGTTGCTTAGCATCAGTTGAGGAGCCAAGGGTTTAAACTTGCCTGCAAGTGATTTGTCACTTAACTTTAAGTGCATTTAACTGACAAAATATTTCAACTGCCTTGGACTCTCAAAAAATTCTAGGACTCAAAGGAAATTTGTGAAATCTTCTATCTTCATATGGTATTATATTTGAGCTATCCTTTCTAGATAAATATGTCAGGAAGAATTTTTGAAACACTGAACAAGTATAGTATGGGCCTTGAACAATCGGAAAAGACTCTCCCTCTGCCAGATGAATCACTGGACAACAGTTAGGAGTGTATTTCAAATGGTACCCAAACTCAATACAGTGTTACCAAAATCAATGTCAGAAGTTCTTCCATGGATGAAGACAAACTTCTGGGTTCCTCTTTCTTTGTTTGCTTTTTGTTTTTTGGTTTTTGGTACTAGGAGTTGAACTCAGGGGTGCTTACTCACTGAGCCACATCCCCATCCCTTTTTTTAAAAAAATATTTTTAGTTGTTAATGGATCTTTATTTTATTTATTTATATGTGGTGCTGAGGATCGAACCCAGTGCCTCATACATGCTAGGCAAGCGTTCTACCACTGAGCCACAACTCCAGCCTCCCAGCCCTTTTTTGAGACAGGGCCTTACTGAGGCTGGCTTTGAAGCTGTTGGTATACAGGCATGTACCACCATGCCTAGAGAAAATGAATTTCTTTGCAGAAGTTCAAGGTCTTTCTTGTCTGCTTCCAGTCATAGTAGCAAGGACGCCTAGAGGCTCAGGACTCTATTAGTGTCAGTGATTGATATTTGGCGTGAACAACAAGTGTTTTCCTCAAGGGGTCTCCTAGAAATGTTTTCCTTTAAAATCACAGGACTTTTGACTCTCTTCTCCAGTGTAGGAACATTGAGTGTCTTAAAAGCAGAGACTGTCATTTGTCTTTGTGTCCCAGGGCCCAATGTTGGGAATATAGTATACACTCAGTAATGGTTTTATGATGAAAGAATAATTTCTAAGAGATGCATTTTATATTTTCTAAGAATATTAAAGTAAGTTTCCTCCTTGTCAAATTTACAAGAATATTCAAGTTAGAAGGAAATGAGTAATTAGATGTTGCCAGTTGTGTTCAAAAGAAGATGGGTAAAAGTCACATGAAATAAAATTCAGTGTTTCTTCTGTTGCAAATAGGCATGTAGGCCACTCATTATGCCCCTGGTAGGGGCTGATGAAGTTTATATTTGTAACAGAGTAATCAGGAAGAAGGAACTTAAAACTGTGTCACAAACAATATTTTTTTTTTAAAAAATAAAAGTTTATTGAAGAGTCAACCCAGGAAGGACTGGATCTTGTCTTCAAATATTTGAAATTCTGTCCTGTGAAAGAGGGATCTAGACTGATTTGGATAGCTCTAAGAAAGACAATCAGGAGGACTAGGAACTTCTGAAACGAAGACAAAATTTGGGCCAAGAGAAGGAAGAATACTAAATGTTGGCAAAAGATGGAAGGTTCTGCATGAAGAGGTGAGGTTCCATACCTCTGGGAAGGTAAAGGACAGACTCAGAATTCTGTGACCAATAGTCACTTCTTCAGAATGGAGTGGATTAAACCTTTGCAAGTCCCATCTAGTTCAGAGGGTGGGTCTGTCAGAGTGTAATCAAGACTAGAAAAAAAAAATCTTAACCATACTTACTAGAAAACGAGCTGCTTGCTATTCGTCCTGCCCAAAACCACAGGTAGGGCCCCCATGAGAGTTTAGACTGAAAAAAAAGAGAGAAATCAAACTCGAATAATTAATAACAGGCGTGGTGACTGCAGAGTCTTATTTTTCTTGCAGAGTTTTTAATGTAGAGATTTCAAAACGCTTAACAATGTTCCATGTTCCTTATTATAGATGAGAAAACAAAGATGATCAAAATGATAAGCTGTCTATATATGGATCTAGAAAGCAAACAAGGGATCTGAGGGCTTAATAATGTAAAACTCAATTTTCTATAAACCTTGTGTGGCTCAGCCTCTCATTTATTCAGCCCCACATGCACCAGTATTGACGCTATAAGCTTACAGGGTCAAGTGTTGAACTCATTCTCTGTCCATCTTTTTCTTCCTCCTCCTCCTCTGTGCTATATTCTTCCAAGGTGTCTCCATCAACAAAATGGATAATCCTTTTGGGAGTAGTCTTCTTGGAAGATTGACTCTTCTCTCGTTCTAATTGCTGGAAATCGTCTTTCTTCATTAGGAAACAAGACAACTAGTATCTTAAAAACAGGACACCTTAGGGCAAATTGCCCAGGGCAGTATTTATATAGCTGAGAGGTGTCTAGTTATTTTCAACTAACAGTAAAAACAGAGTTCAGAGGTAATTACATCCGAAGGCTCATCAATTCTTCAAGTCCAAGAAAGAACTGTTCAGTACTGTGCTAAAATGGAAGAAACTCAGTTAGTGAAAATGTTTTCATTGGATCTTGAGACAAAAATTCCAGCAGGGTTTCCTGACTGCAAAGCCCACAACTGCTAATAGAAAGTGGCCACTGCCCTGCTTAGAAGTTTCTCCATCATTTTGATTTAAATTGAGAGGCAATATAGGGAGTGTTAAGAGTACAGACTTTATGCAGAGAAAACATTTGCAAAAAAATTATATATATATATATATATATATATATATATATATTCATTGGTGCATCAGCTATTGGTCTCTGTGACTATAAAATACCTGACAAGAATAACTCAGAGGAGGAAAGGTTTATTTTGGATCATGGTTTCAGACTGTTTCAGAGGATTCAGTCCGCGATCAGCTGGCTTTAAGGCAGAAACATCATGGTGGAAGGCAAGGCAGAGGAAAGCTGCTTGGCTCATGAAAGCCAGGAAAGACAGAAAGAGAATAGGGGTATGGGAGTGCCTTTCTTTCCAGGGCATGCCTTAGTGACCTACGTCTTCTAACTAGATTCCCACCCCCTAGTAGTCCATTCAGCTATTTGAATGAGGGCAGAGATGGTATGATCCAATTATTGCAATATAAGCCCCACCTCTGAAACCTGCAGTTGCACTGGGAACCATGCTTTCAGTATGCGAGCTTTGGGGAAATGCTGCAGATGTAAACTATAGATAAAAGACAAACAGTTCAATTAAAACATGGAGAAAAGATTTTAATAGACACTTTATCAAAGAAGATTTACAATTGGCAAATAAACACCTGAAAAGATGCTCAGTACCTTTAGAGGGGAAATACAAAATGTAACTCTAGTGAAATATAACAACATAGCCATCACAAGGTCTAAAATTAAGAAATATGAATACCAAGTGTTGGGGAATATGTGTTGAAACACATTGCTAGTGGGAATGCAAAATGGTGCAGCCACTTCAGAAAAGAGTTGGGCAGTTTCATAAAAGTCAAACATACACTTACCATATGATCTTGTAATTTTACCCTTAGATATTCACCCAAGAGAAATGAAAACACTGGTATGTGAATATTCATAAGTTTTAATTTGTGAGAGTATAAAACAGAGAACAATTTTAATGCCCATTAACTGATGAGTGAACATAATGTGATATGTGTGTCTGATGGAATACTACTCAGCAATTAAAAAATAATAGACTACTAATATTTTCAACATCATGAATGATTCTCAAATGCATTGTGCTAAGTGAAAGAAGCCAGACACTGCAGAGTATGTGTTTTTTTCATGTGAAATTTTAGAAAAGGCAAAATTATAATAAGAGAAAACAGAAGTGTTTGTTGGAAATGATGAAAGAGATGAACTACAAATGGACAAATGAAAACTGTTTAGGGTCATGAAAACATTTTAATGTTGTGATTGAAGTAGTGGTTACTTGACTGAAAACATTTGTCAAAACAAATTTGAGGGGCTGGGATTGTGGCTCAGTGGCAGAGTGTTTGCATCGCACGTGTGAGGCAGTGGTTCGATCCTCAGCATCACATAAAAATAAATAAATAAATAAATAAAAGTATTGTGTCCATCTACAATTAAAAAAATTAAATATAAACCAAATTTGACACTGAAATTAGTTAATTTTACTATATTTAAATTATATCTCAATAAAGTGGAAAAGCTTTGGAGCCAGACTACCTAGATTTTAAAAATATTATTATTTATTATACCTGTACCATATCTCTTCATCTACTAAATAATAATATAGGATGACATAATATCGAGCTTGTATAACTGTTGTAAGGAGTCAATAAGTACAGACACATAAAGGAGTTAAAATAATTCTTAGCAAATAGTGCTTAATAAAAGCTAGTTATTAAACATCTGCCTAATAATTTATATGTCAGGCACTACTCTAGTATTGTAAGCACACTTATTGCCTTAATTCATATTTAATGTATTTTAACCTTATACCAACAATTTGGAATAGTCCCTCCTGTTTCAAACACTCAGAAATCCTGGATAAAATTAAACAAATAAAAACACTACATCATAACTGCATTAAGGAAGTAAGAGAGAGAGAGAGAGAAACAGAATAAAGATGGAGATAGAGAAGAAGAGAAGAATATGCCAGCCAGCCAGCCAGCCAGCCTAAGTTTCAGAAAAAGAACAAAAAAATAAGGGTGAACTAAAGCCCAGATGACCCCTGGGGGTTTCAGAACCAGATACAGGCCATGGAGTTGGAGTTCTAACACTGATACAGAGAGGAGAGAACACATTACAGATGCCCTGGGTGTGGGGAGCTTAAGTGAAGCTACCTAAACCCACATCTAAGTAATAAAGCACTATCTTATCTATAACATACGGACTGGAAAAGCTACCCCTTGACTGCAAAAAGTATATATTTGCTACCTCTTGGAAATATAGGTAGAAACTTTCACCTGAAAAAAAAAATAGAACCTCAGGTCAGTAGTAGATGCTGCCCAAATTCAGTTTTCATATGGTATGATGTCCTAAAGTGAAGACAAGTGAGCTAAAGACAGACACTCACAGAACTCTGTCAAAGACAAACATGAAACCACCTTGGAGTATCTTCAATAAGACATGGTATAATGAATCTCTACTGAAAACAACCCTTGCTGAAGATGTACTTATTACAAAACATCAAAAACAATACAAATAAATTGACCATAATTAGGAAGGTTTGGCAGATGAAGATATTATAAGAGTTCTTACGTTTGTTGGCAGTCTGTTACCATAATAAAATGCCTGAGGTGATCAACTTATAAAGAAGAAAGTTTTATTTTATTTCATGATTTCAGAGGTCTTAAATCATGGTCTGTTAGCACTATTGCTGTTGGGTCTGTGATAAGGCACCAAATCATAACAGGAGCACATTGTCAAACAACCTTCTTACCTCAAGGTGGCCAGAAAAAAAAAAGAGAGAGAGAGAGAGAGAGAGAGAGAGGGGAAGAAAAAGGGGCCAGGGTCCCAATGTCCCCTTCAAGGTTACACCCCAATGACCTAACTTTTTTCAATTAAGGCCTACTTTCTAAAGGTTCTACCACCTCCCAACAGCACTATGGGCTGGGGATCAAGCCATTACTAACACATAGGCTTTGGGGGACATTCAAGATTCAAATTATATCAGTCCTCATACAAGTATTCAAATAATAGAAAAATAGGAAACTTTAAAATTAGGTTAATACATTCAAAAGTAGTAGGATAAAAAAGAGCAATGAAAAAGCATGATTAATAAAAATACTAAATAAACTATTAGAAATGATTCCAAATAAATCAGTGATTATTACAAATGTAAAAATGTAAATAGATTGTCAGCCGTATATTAAAATGGGGACTAACAAATTCTGAGAACATTTTATGGGCAATACAAACATATGAATACATGCATACATTATGTGTACTCATATACAAGTTTAAGTAGTTTTAAATTAATCACCAAATCTTTTTCATTATTTTTTTAAAGAGAGAGAGAGAATTTTTTTAATATTTATTTTTAGTTTTCGGTGGACAAAACATCTTTACACAACATCTTTATTTTCATGTGGTGCTGAGGATCGAACCCAGTGCCCCGGGCATGCCAGGCAAGCGCGCTGCCACTTGAGCCACATCCCCAGCTCTTAATCACCAAATCTTATTGTGTAATGCTGAGTTTATCATTACCAAGCTCAGAGTTTCAAAGGTCTGGAAGACAAAGGGTTAAACTGGTCTTCCACAGGGAGAAGATGTTATACCCGACCCTCCAGGGACCTCTGAGGAGACTTGAATGAAACATTTGTTTTTCCTGACTTAATTAGTGCCAATCTATCCCAGAAGAGCCTTGAGCAAGAAATAGGAAGATAAGGTTACCCTTTAGTTTCTGATGCCATAGGGAAGTCAAAAAATACCCATTTAAATTTGTTATTTAAGACCAATAATTGCTAAGCATAATAGCATTGAAAAAGTAAATATTACCAGTGCTGTCAGAACTAAAATACACTGTGCAACAACAAACAAAATCAGAACATTTCCAGAGAGCAACTCACATAATCCTGCTGTATTTTCTTTTGTTGATGTAATTAGTTCTGTTTGGTGTTGGAAGTACGGCAACATTTGGTTCTACACTTGTTTGATAGATGATAAACTAGGCTGAGGCCAAACAGAGCCCCTGAGTGTGCTGACGTGGAAGTGTTCTCCTGTGTTTGTCTTGTAGGGTGGGACGGGATTGAGTTGTGGAAAGGTCTGTAGGATTTACACAGTCACCATTAACAATACTCAGTGGCTCTCAAACTTGTCTTTATATTAGAATCAGCGAGGGAGCTTTGAAAAAAATTCCAAACATGGGCCACAGTCCAGACTACTTAAATCACCATCTCTGGGGATGAGATGCAGACATCATTATTTTTTTAAAGGCTGCTCACCGTGTAGACAAGTTTGGAGCCCAGTGCCCTAAGAAGCGAGAGGAAAGAAACTGAAGTCGAAAACAGAAAGTCTTGTGTGATTCAGTAACTTGTATTACAGAAAGCTTAAACAGCAAACTGGGTCCAAAACACATTCCATGAAGGTTTCTTGCTTTCTGTTTCCTAAGCCTCCTTCTACTCCACCCTATTTAAAAAGCTTAAATATAAAAAATTTTTTTAAAAAGGGCTGGAGTTTTAGCTCAATAGTTAGCACTTGCCTTACATGCATGAGGCACTGGGTTCAATCTTCAGCACCACATTAAATAAATAAATAAATAAACAAACAAAGATATCTTATCCATCTACAACTATAAAAAAATTTAAAAGAAGGATTTTAATCTCATTATAGTTGATTTACTCTTAAGACCATCCAAACCCATGCATTTCCAAACCGAATAAAACATACATGTGCACACATCCCATCCTTCACATATCTGGTTCAATCCTGTTATGTTGGCTCTCTAAAGGAAACACTAGTCTCTGTTCCTCATAATAGTTATATACATCAAATGGACAGAGACATGTTTTAATTCAGAGGTTTTTAGGGAGGTTTTAAAGGA